GATTGGCAGTAACAATGACCAACTAAAATGAAGTGCCTGAAAATCTTTTACATTAATGATGACGGCATATCCAACAAAGTGGAGGAAGTTAAAGAAAGGACTCAGTTTACAAATTCTCTCTCTCTCTCTCTCTCTCTCTCTCTCTCTCTCTCTCTCTCTCTCTCTCTCTCTCTCTCTCTCCTCTCTCTCTCTCTCTCTCTCTCTCTCTCTCTCTCTCTCTATATATATATATATATATATACTATATATATATGCATATATATATATATGCATATATATATGTATATATATGTGTATATATATATATATATATATATATATATATATATATATATATATATGCATATATATATATATGCATATATATATATGTATATATATATTTATATATATATATATATATATATATATATATATATATATATATATATATATATATATATATATATATATATATATATATATATTTATATAAGAGAAAAGATCGCTAGAATTCGGGGATACAATTTGGAATCAAGGTAATGTAGTGTAAATATTTAAGAAAGGATGAAGACAGGAGAGACAGATCTAGACACTGGTATCACTAACTAGTATTTGACGGAAGGAAAAAATAAACAAAAACTAGAGACACTGATTAGGAGGATCGCAAAAACTTTGAATAATTGAACTTTGTCTCCAAACATTAACATGGATTCAGCGAAGGGAAGTTCTAATTGGCAAACTTATTAGAGTTTTACGACAAGATGGCAACAATCGAACGAGAGAGAGAGAGAGAGAGAGAGAGAGAGAGAGAGAGAGAGAGAGAGAGAGAGAGAGAGAGAGAGAGAGAGAGAGAGAGAGAGAGAGAGACGAAGAGAAACAAGAGTGCAAGAGAGTCAACAAGGGTCAGAGCTAGAGAAGAAGAAAACAGATCTCTGGATCTCATGAAGAACAGGTGAACACTATAAATAAACTTGAATTTTAAACATATTCCAGCCTTCAGGTCAACTCCACAAGTATTCCACAATTTCCTGGTAATCCCCCAAATACTTCAGGTGTTTCATGCAATCCAGCTGCCTGAACTACTAGAGAATGGTGCAGGGTCACTCAGGTAGAAGCCTGAGCCACTGGAGCAGGATGCAGGTGGAAGCCTGAGCCACTGGAGAAGGATGCAGGTGGAAGTCTGAGTCACTGGAGGTCCATCAAGATGGACCACAGGAGTTCCTACGCGGATACAACTTAGCTGAAAGTGAAGTGATTCTTGCCTGCTAACCCTCAAGTGGCCCATCTTTCGAAGAGAAAGGGAGTGAGGGAGGAGTGGGAGAGGGGTTGTGAGAGGGGTGGTGGAACAGTGGGAGAGGGATGAGAGAGAGGAGGGGGGATAAGAGAATGGAAAGGGTAAGGAATAGAGTGAGAGGAATCAATGCAAAATTCCTCCAGGGTGAATACCTTTGACAAGAGACAATCAGTGTTGCTACACCCATGTGTACACCCACCTGTACACCCATGTGTACACCCACCTGTACACCCATGTGTACACCTCTGGCTATCCTGTGAGAGTCATACTCGTTGAAGAACACTTTTGGAGGCAACAAATAATAAATGGTGAACGTTATAGCACTTAGATCACTATAGAACATTCTGGAACAAGACGGTAGCAGGGAGAGTCATGACGTCACAGCACACACACACAGACACACACACACAGACACACACACACACACACACACACACACACACACACACACACACACACACACACACACACACACCAACGTACCAAAGCAGAGCAGAAAGTTTAAGCAGTGGGATGGAAGTTCCATAGATAGACACATTCTCTCTTCTGGACTTCTATCATTCTGATGAGTCTTCCGCTTGCTAGCAACTGGGAAACGAGTCATTCACTTGCTAAGGTCAATATGACCTTATGCATCCAGTGAATGGCTGCAGGAAGCTGTGAATGGACTGTGCTTCAAGCTGTGACCTTGAAGCACCATCCTCCCCAACATATAACCTTTTACCACGGCTACACCAACGAATTTTCGAGTATTTAATTATTTTTCATATTTATTTTATTTCATGTCGTGGAAGTCAGGTTTTATGTTTTGTTTACACATGTTTGACTTGTTTACACATGTTTTTGTTTACACATGTTTTTGTTTACACATGTTTGACTTGTCCTCTCCGTCTACTGACATTTTGGTTATGGTTAGGGTATAAGTAATGACCTTCTTGAGTTTATCTTGAGTTATCTTGAGATGATTTCGGGGCTTTAGTGTCCCCGCGGCCCGGTCCTCGACCAGGCCTCCACCCCCAGGAAGCAGCCCGTGACAGCTGACTAACACCCAGGTACCTATTTACTGCTAGGTAACAGGGGCATTCAGGGTGAAAGAAACTTTGCCCATTTGTTTCTGCCTCGTGCGGGAATCGAACCCGCGCCACTGAATTACGAGTCCTGCGCGCTATCCACCAGGCTATGAGGCCCCTTACTCCTTGAAGACTGTAATATAAGGGGAAACTACACTAAGGAGATATACCTGAGCTGCTATAGTTAGGAGCCAGCGACTATACGATGTGGGTACCCGACTTTAGGCAAATCGTCTGTGAAAACAGGTAAAGCTCCACAAGCCTTTCACTACGGGCTCACCATAGCCCGTGCTGCTTGGAACTTTGTTCCAGGTAGCAAATCTTTAACAACAACAACATCCACTAGCTAATGCTTCTCCCCAGACAGCTGAAACTTGAAGACGAGTAGCAGTAGATCTCTGAATAGAGAAATACTTATACACCATTTCTCGTGTATGGTGACGTGCACTGTAAGTGGCCCTTGTGGTGAGTGACGTGGCGATATTCACTACCCAGGGGCACAATACCCTGAGCACTATACCCTGGACACTATAGGGTACATCACCAGTGAGCTTCAAACCTGCCCTCATTATAGAGGTCCCCCTGGCGGTATAACCCCCCCCCCTCAAAATCACTACGTAATTAGTGCTATTATCTACTCCCTATCCATGGTTAGGTTAGGTTATGGTAGGATAGGTTATGTTTCATTACGAGTGGTGACGTTAATATAGTGTATTATTCTCCAACATGTGAAATATGGAATTCGAAAATTATTTGAGTATCCTCTAGAACTTCATTTATAGAAAACCTATTTTTTCAGACCCTTTCAGTGAAAATGAGTTAAACATAGACTTTTCATGTTTTAAAATAACGATTTATAATACAACAAAGTTATAAACTGAGAATATTTTGAATAAGACAAAGGTTCAGTTTACATGTTGACTATTATTGGAACAATAATATGCTTTCAGACCATTACAAATATCTTGATATATATCCAGATGTTTAACCAGGCCATATGGCTAGTCATTATCTTACGGGCTATTCATGCCCGTGCCACCTTTTGTGTGGCTTAATCTTCATCAATCTGGTCATTAGAGTTTCTATACCCTGAGAACGGCCTTCCTTATAGTGGTGGAGGAAAAATTAATATAATCAGAGAACATTCCTCTTCCCACTCTCTTACGCCATTATAGAAAACGTAAACACTGCATCATATTTTCTGGGGTAAACTAAAGGAGCAGAATCTCTTAAGGAGCGGAGTATATGCAAGTCGTATCTTTACAAAGTTTTGCATTATGCAGCAAGTTGCCTTCTGCAAAATTGCGTTTCTCCTCACTTCATATACAGAATAAAATTTGCATAATATTAAGTAGCTTTACTGCACATTAACTATTTTTTTTTGACTCTGGTTATAACGAAGAATACGTGACGAGCGTTGTAATTGTGTATTGTATTGACCTATCAGCACTTGCCTATCAGTGACTGCAAGGAAGTGAAGTCTAGATCTTTATACCCCCCTCCTGATAGCCTTGTAGTACCTGCTGCATTATTAATTGAACTATTCTGACTTTCACATTTTTCGTCGAATCTGGCCCTAAAGTTGTGGACGGAGGTGGCTTCCACAACTTCTTCTCTCAGAGCACTTCATCTGTTGACCACCCGTGAAGGGTTATCTTATCTTGAGGTTATCTTGAGATGATTTCGGGGCTTTAGTGTCCCCGCGGCCCGGTCCTCGACCAGGCCTCCACCCCCAGGAAGCAGCCCGTGACAGCTGACTAACACCCAGGTACCTATTTTACTGCTAGGTAACAGGGGCATAGGGTGAAATAAACTCTGCCCATTGTTTCTCGCTGGCGCCTGGGATCAAACCCAGGACCACAGAATCACAAATCCAGCGTGCTGCTCTTATCAGTATCTTGCATATTATGATCATATCTCCTCCATTGTGTCTCTCCTGCAGGGTTGTGAAGACTAGGGACCTTATCCTGTCCTCATAGCTAAACCCTCGTAGTTCTGTCATTAATCTTCATGTAACTACTCTACTTTTTTCAATTTTAGCATCATTCTTCACAGGATGCAGAATCCATGCCAGAGAGTCCGTAGTTTAGAGTTCTAAATGATGTTCTAATGTTTACCAGCGACCCATATGCTGCTGATGTTACTGTGTTTGTGTGTGTGCCCTCTGAGACATCAAGACTCGTCCTTCTGAACCACCCAGACTCGTCCCTCTGAACCACCCAGATTCGTCCCTCTGAACCACCCAGACTCGTCCCTCTGAACCACCCAGACTCGTCCCTCTGAACCACCCAGACTCGTCCCTCTGAACCACCCAGACTCGTCCCTGAACCA